AATTAATGTTAGTTAATTTGGATATGTTTTCCTCACAGTCATTTGGGAGGACTGTTGAAAATACTTCAATGTATGTCCTAGAGCATCATGCCCTGCTAAGACCCTTCAGTGGGAAAAAATTCTGGACTTTATCATAACGTGAATAACCCAGATCAACTATGTCAGTCTCTCGTCTGGCCTCCTAACTAGTCTCCATCTTTCCTCTGCTGTCCCCTGTCCTCAACATAAACTGCAATGACCGTAAAACCCAAACTCCTCCCTGTGGCCACAAGAGTCTACTTGTTCTGCCCCTGACGCTGCTTCAGACTCATCTCAAACCACATTCCCTGCCTCTTTCACTGCTCTCCACCACATGTCTCCCTTCTGCTCCTGATGCACAACTGTCCCTTCCTTAGGACCTTTGCAGTTACTGTTCCTGAAACTGTTCTCCTCATAGCCAACCTCTTAAGGAATTGACTCACATGACTGCTGGGTGGGCCGGTAGGCTGGAGACACAGGGAAGACTGGCAGCTCAAGGTAAAAGGATGTCCGCTGGCAGAATTCCTTCTTGCTCATTCATCTCCTAGTCTGTGATTTGTCTTTTCACTTTTTGGCACATTTTGAGATATAAAAGTTTTTCATTTCAATTAGGTTGATTTAGCTATTTTTCCTTTTTGGGTTTTAGTTGTTGTATAAATCACAATCCACCTGTAGTTTATTTTTGTATATGATGTGTGATATAGAAACCTAATTTATTCTTTTTCATATGAGAGACCAATTGTCCCAACATCATTCATTTAATAGTCCTACCTTTCTCCACTGATCTGTATTGCTACTTCTGCTGTTTACCAAGATCCTGTATATGGGGATTACTATAGAGTTATAATAATTCTTTATATCTAGGAGGGCAATTTCTCCTTCTTCCTACTTCTTAGAAATTGACTTAACTCTCTTTGGCCCCCTTATATGCTCACATGGCTTGTTGGAGCAATATATCAAGTTTTAAAACCTTTGTTGGGATTTTGTTGAATTTGTAGATTCATTTGGAGAGATAATTGCCTTCTTTATGTTATTGTATCTTTCCACTCATGAACATGATAAATTTCTCCTTACATTTCTTTTTAAATCATTAAATAAATTCCCCATACAGAATGTGCACCTTTACCAAAAAAAAAAGCAAATTATATTTAGTCCCATGTCCTTACAGTGTTGTTGTTTCTATTGGGAAAAGGGTTTTTTAAATTATATAAGTAGTTATCACTTTGTGAGGGGTATAAATGTCTAACTAGTACATTGTTTTGCACACCTGAAACTAATTTTAAAAATTATATAAGTAGTTGGTGGTGGTGTAAAGAAACCATCTTTTTATATTTTAATTTTGAATCCAGTGACACCATTGAAGTCTCTTATTAATTCTAATTGTCTGTCAGAAGATTCTGTTAGAGTGGTAATTTTTTGAGGGCCTACTATGTGCCAAGCATTAGATTGAGGACTTTAAAGGAAGTAATTTTTATTCCCACTATAGAATAAGAACTTAGGAACTAAGATGTTAAGTTTTTTTCCATGCTTCTACTACTAGTGGTGGCAGAGTCAACATTCAGGCCCACGTCTCTTTAACTCTAATGCCACAGCATTAGAGTCTGACAAGTAACATAATGGGAATATCGTGCTTTTTATTTAACTTGTGAGATTTAATTTGGTGAATAATAATACCACTGAGATTTGTTTCTCCAATAAATGAATTAGTTCACTAAATCTCAGTCAGTGGTGCAGTAGAAGTGTCAAGGAGACTTCACTCAGCATACGTTTTGCCCCATCCCCACCTGGGAGAATAAGGAAAAAGCATGCTTTTGTCTGGACACTACATTGCTCACTCCCAAGTAGAATTCCAAGAAGCAGATATTTAACATTCAAACCTTTAATAAAATGCCTCAAGGCCACAAGCATTTGGGGTAATAGAAATGCAATCTATATTATGATTGTGGTGGTGGTTACCCAACTGTACATTTGTCAAAACCAATCAAATTGCACACTTAAAATTGTTTAATTTTTTCATATGGAAATTATATCTCAAGCTGCTTTAAAAACAAAACAAAACAAAAAAAATCTCTATTTAAACCAGAAAGAACAAAGTCTAGCCTCCATAGCACCTACCTTCTGAAGCTGCCGTCAGCACCACTGTGTGCAAGGCATCTCCGTTATGACCTGTGATTTGCCACAAAATCGTCTTATCATGTTCTGGTGTCTCTGGAGATGAGATGGTGCCAAGATCCGGCATAATGGGCAATAAATACAGACTGACAGGCTTCAGGCAGTTTGATTTACAGGTACTGTGTGACCTGATTATAAAAGGAAGTTGACCTTAACGCAGGTTTGGTTATAATTTTCCAGAAAAGCTGTCATTTTAGGAATCCAGATCCATCTGGATAACATTCAGTCCCATCTGTTGAAGTCACTTGGGATTTCAGAGTCAGTAAGTCTGGGAAGGAAGAGGAACGTTTTCCCAGAATGCCGCTTCTCCTCCACTCATGGTTTATCAGCGTGTTTCCAGTGTCAGTGAAAGATAGCTCTGGTTTCACAGACAGTCAAGTCCAGAGTCTTCACGCCTGGGTCATGTGTAGTCCCTGGGCAGGCTGGTTACCTGCTTCCTTGTTTCAATTTACAGTTGTCTGTAATTTATCAGTGGGACCAGGTGGGTTTAGAAAGATAAAACAGGCAAACAGAAGCCGCAGTCTGTATTTGTCAGAGCTTCTAGAGGTATCTTTTGAGCCCCTACAATGGACAGTGCAGCTGACCCAACAGGCTCACTCAGCATCCACGGTGCCCGCAGTTTCTATTAATAGCAGCTTGGTCTTGTAAGAGAAAGGGCAGAAAAGCTACTAGATGTGATGGAGCGCATGCGTAGGCACCACTAACCCTGCTGGGCGTGAATGTGGTAGAGCTGGTGGCCCTAGAAGGGAGGCCATAAGTCTCCTTATATTTCAGGGACAAGTCCTGCCTGTGAGTGGGAGAACTGCCAGGCCTTTTCATCAGCCCCAGTTCTCACCCCCGTGACTGTCTGGGGTTGAACCTCATGCGCGGCAACTTTGAGGTACAGACTCTGGGGCCTCCTGGATGGTGCATGGGAGAAGAGAAGGCAGGAGAAGAACTGGTCATTGGTCTTGGCTGGGGAGAAAGGTGATTTTTTAAATCCTCCATTTATTAAAGGTCTACTTACAAAACAGAAAATAGAAATGGTTTTATTTTTATGTTTTACTCTGGATAATTGGGGCTCAATTCTCAATTAACTTAACAACAAAACTAAAGGGCTGTGATATTCATTGCCTCTTCATCAGGAGGCTCTTTCTTTTTATCTAATAAAAAGATACTGAGTATCAGTTATGGGAGAAGGTAAGGGCTTCTGTCTGCTGGGATGAAAAGGAACATAGGAGAACGCTGCTCCTCACTCCCAAATCAGAGCTCACTGAATAATTCAATGACTTCACCATCTTTCCAAGATGTGTTTGTGTACTTTCTATATGTTTTATAACATTACTGATTCATCTGAAGAATTACAATAGGAATAAGAAGGGAAATCTGGAATATGAACCAAACCTAATGAGTTTTGACCAATTGGGGAAAAGTCTGGTCTGGATTAGTGTGAATTCATGAGGCACTTAAACCATACACACACACACACACACACACAAACACACACACACACACACACACACAAACACACACACACACACACACACAAAGAGATAGCTGTATATGAAGATATATATCTCCATATATATATGTATATACCGGGGTTGCCAAGAAAATGTATACATATAACTTGTATTCATCTTTTGTTATTGGTATATGTTGAGTATTACAATTTTAATACAGTTTTTTCCTTTCTTAAAATGTGTATACATTTTTGGGCATCCTCTGTATACACACAGACACATGTGCAGTCCCTGTGTGTGTGTGTGTGTGTGTGTGTGTGTGTGTGTATTCATATATATGAAGAGTTTCATTCCTTTGAATATATATGAAGATATATGTATATATACAAAGGGTGCCAAAAAATGTATACACATTTTTAAAAAGGAAAAAACTGTATTAAAATTGTAATACTTAATATATACCAATAACAAAAGATGAATACAAGTCACATTTGACTTCTGCGATTACAAGAGGTGCTCAAAGTGGTTACCTTCAGTGTCCAGACACTTCTGATTATGGTGAATTACGGCTTGAGCAGCATTGGCCAAAGTGTCCACGTGTATACATTTTTTGGCACCCCTGGTATGTAAAGATACACACCCTTTTATTCTTTTATGCCAATGAGCATCGTTTAGGAGTAGCTACAGCAGAGGGCATTTTGTAGACCTGTGTCCATACTGGTTCTATTACTAACTTGCTGACTCCTAGACCAGAGCTTCTCAACCTCAGCACTGTTGAGATTTTGGGCTGGATAATTCTCTGTAGTGCGAGGCTGTCCTGTGCACTGGAGGATGTTTAGCAGTATCCCTGGCCTCTAAATACTGGACGTCAGTAGCACCGACGCCCTCACCCTCACCTCCTGCCCATGACAACCTAACATGTCTCGTAGACATTGCCCTGGTTGAGAACCACTCTTCTAGACCAAGTAGGATCATTCCCTAGGCCATATGGTTCTCGTCAGTAAACAGGACGGCATCTTCAGGACCCCTTCCAGATCTAATAAATACTCCCAGGATAGCTGTCAAGGGTCCAGCCAGACTCAGAAGTCATCTGACCCCTGTGTTGTTATAACTGGGTGATACGTGGAAATGAGTTCTTCTGAAGGTTAAACATTTATGCTCTCGTTTATACTATCCATTTACTTATGTAACCTTCCCTACCCAGTTACCAAATACCAGAAGATAAATGATACTTTACTGTATTCCTGAGAAGCCCAAAATGGACATAAAGCTGCGTTTATTTTTCCTAAACTTTATCCACACAGCCATGTTTAACAGAGAGTGTTTTGGAAATGATTTGGCTGAAATACCTGCTTTTCTTTCCCACAGGGATTCTCACAGTAAAGAGAGCAGAAGACCTTCTGAACACATGTATGCCGGGCAGTTTTCTGATCCGAGTCAGTGAAAAGATCAAAGGCTATGCCCTGTCCTTCCTGTCTCTGGAGGGCTGCAAACATTTCCTTATAGATGCTTCTATGGACTCCTACAGCTTCCTGGGTGTGGACCAGCTGCAGCATGCCACCCTGGCCGACTTGGTGGAATATCACAGGGTGAGACAATGCACACACTTAATTTGCTCTGTGAACCATTGTCCTGCAGCAGCTCTAACAGGGAAAGGCAATTACAAGAAAAATGATTGAGACACGTAATGGGGGATGAGTCTTTGATAATTCCAACTGATAATCAGGATTCTTAATTGTATTTCCTTTACCATTGAGCCCAGTTCCTTCGCAAATACTCAGGGAGACCCCACTGGGACAGAGCATATAGGAGATGCTAATAAACTTGTGTATATACTGATCACATCTGAGCACACTCTTAAGTTAGAATGGAGCATGGATGGGAGGGAGCATACACGACAGTTTGTGGATAAGGAAAACCTCTTTTAATAGTCTCATAAATCGATAAAGCTTTGTGTCAGTCATAGGTAGGCAGGAAGTTATGTACTCTGAGGAGGTAAGAATGGCATGACATCATTATGTATATTATCTTAACAACCTGACCAGCCTGACCTGTGCCGTCTGATTCACAGATGGAACCCATCACGTCCCTCGGGTATGAGTACCTTCTGTACCCCTGTGGTCAGCGGGTCCAGCCTCACGACTACCTGGAGCTCTTCGAGTGACAGCCCGCATTGCGTCATCCCGCCGCTTCCAGCTGGGCTTTCCTCCGGACAAACACTGCTGAAATGGACATTCGTGTGTGAGGCCAAAAATCACCCTGCAGCAGAGCCAATACTGATCAACTGAAAGTATCCTTGGGATCCTATGGGAATGTCTCTTCTGCACAAATACTGGAGTTTAAAATAAGAGGAAATTACCACTGCATTGTATGCACTCCAAAAAGTAAAGGGAGATGATTCCTAATTTCAGCAACTACCTAAAATGAAGGATACAACCTTAATAATGTATGTAAGATAAAATGAACAAAGAAGAAATTGAAACCTTTTAGGAATGAAGTTGTACTTCAGAAACCAGCAGGTTTATAATTCATGGGAATTATTTCATGACCTCTGCACTCCCTCTTTGCATCATCTCAAAAGTCTCAGGGTTCTGTATATATAAAGTTTCATGCTGGCTTTGCAAAGCTGGAAAAAAGCTTTTACTGATGGCTGAGATGACCCTCCAAACACACTTCACTTATTGTGCATGTTGGTGCCAGGATGTTAAGTAAGAGACATAGATAGAAAAACAAAGTTGGGAGTGTAAATTGAATGAGTTTTAAAATGTAAGATGAGAGGCTTAACGTGTACAAAAATACTATGGACTGCAAGAGAATGAGAAAGCATCGATGAGCTTGTTTCCTCCTTCTGGAAAAGCAGGACCCCGCTGGCCCTGTCTACTTTGGCTCTACTCAAGGGCCCACCAAGGAAGGAGCACAGGCTCACGTGAGGTGTTACTTATTAGAGGTGACAGACACGAACAGAACAGTGAGCTGTGTGGATACTACTTCTTGTAGTATTGTGGGTTGAGTTGTGTCCCCAAAAACAATATGTTGAAGTCCTAACCCCCGTACCTGTGGATGTGACCTTATATGGAAATAGAGTCTTTGCAGATGTGATCAAGTTAAGATGAGGTCATACTGGAGTGGAGTGGGCCCCATAATCTGAGACTGGCGTCCTTATGAGGACAGAGGAGTTTGGAAACAGAGACTCATGTGCAGAGGGAAGATGACATGGGATGGCAGAGCAGAGATTGGCGAGATGCAAGCCAGGGACTACCCGAGGATCGCTGGCAGCCTGAGAAACCAGGAGAGTAGAATGGAACAGATTCTCCCCACAGCGTAGAAGGGGATGCGGCCCCGCTGGCACCGTGTTGTCAGACTCCTAGCTTCCAGAACTATGAGAAAATAAATTTATGTTGTCTTAAGCCACTGAGTTTATGGTAATTTGTTATAGCAGCTCTAGGAAACTAATACAGAAGTTTGTGTAATTACAGCACCTGTTATGCATTATATACTGTTTGTTGATATACATTCCGCCCTCCTCATAATGAAAAAAAATCAGAGATGAGAATAACCTTTCACTGGCTCTGTTCATTTCTGGGGTGAGGGTTTGCTCAGTCAGGAATATTATGCCCCACTGCACCCCAACCCCAACCTCCAGCCCCAATAAGGGGGACAACCTGACCAAGGAGACACTGAGTCACTCTTCTGGGAAGATGGAGGTTTACTCACACTTCCGGCCTGTGTCAGCATTCTTTTAAGGGAAGCAGAAGGTGCCAGCAGTTTGTTCATGAGGTTGTTGGTTGTGTAAAATACTCACTGATAGTGTAAAATGTCACCAGAGCCGAGGACAGGGTGCATGGGTGTGCATGTATGTGTGTGAGTCTTCATGGGTGTATGGGTGTGTGTGTGTGTGTGTGTGTGTGTGTGTGTGTGTGTGTGTGTATGTGCGCTTTAATGAGAAAGCTTTTAAACACAGATCGCTGTTAGGTGTTTCTTGAAATGTCCCATGTGGTTTCTATTGTCTGAGGGACAACTTTCAACTAGACAATTTTCTGAGAGAATCTGTCTCTCAGCTTTTATTTCAACAGTCATGTGTCTCAACAGTCATGACATGGATTTGCACAGATAGCACAGGGCTGGAAGTCAGAAGTTTTTATTCTGTTCCTATCTCTTCCCACCATTAGCTGTGTGATCTTGGATCGGTCCCTTTATCTCTCTGAGCCTAAGTTTTTGCTTACAATGAAATACGGTGTTTTAACGAGGTGATCTTTATTATTTTCATCTAGTTCTGAAATCTTAAGGTTTTGGAATGAATAGAAAAGTACCCTATAGTCACTAATAATTATGAAGACATGTAAGATTCCAGCATTACCCTCTGCCTAAAATTATTTGGGGGAAAGTAAGTACAGTTACATCCAGATATAACCACTCTAAGTGACATCCTACTGGAGGAACTTACAAAACAGGAAATGGCCTGACCGAATTAACCTAATATTACAAGGAAAAGCAGATTTGAGTTTTATACTATTTTACCCTATTGGTTACTGACACTCAGAAGAATAAACTGTTCAGTGTTTGATGATATGATGGTGAGGAGTAAACCTGAAAGTCTTAGGGAAGGAGAATGGTTTACAGGAGTCAGAAATTGGTTACAATTAAATGGGGTTGAAGAGGCCTGAATTCTTATCCTAGCTCTGCTATTAGACTTGGTCTCTCTGTGTCTGACCCTAGCTATGGCCTAAGGCAATGCTGTCCAAACCCTGACCTTGGTCCCCTCCTTCTGTTGCCTCAACAAGCCCAGAACCATAACCTGCCTGCCCCAGGCATCTTGGTCTGGGATGTTCCTCTTATGTTATGTCATGTTCCCTGATCCCAGGTACTCCAACCTGCCTACCTCTTTGGGACTGTAACCCAATGCCACTCCCTGACCATGGTGATTCTTCTCTGCCTCAGCTCCCTCACTAAGATTCTGGAATCTCCTCTTACAGTCATCCCAGACTCTCTGGCTGCCACCTCCCAACTGCAAGACCCTCATATACCCATCAAACCTCCATCAGATCACCTGTGAGTTCCCTGGTTCTGGCATCCTGGCCTACCCTCCTGCAGTGGGATGCACAAAAAATTTACTTCGTCTCTCAGTGTCACCAGCAGTGCTAAGCCATGTCAAACAGTATTAGTAGGCTGAAACCTTACACTAAAAAGGAAAAACACAAGGACGGTTAAGAAGAAAAAGGAGAAAAAGTGGAAATGGGGCATGGACAGGGCACTAAAAGTATCTCAAGGCCATCTATACCAAAAATTCCCTATCTGAACCAACACTTTGGAATAAACCAGCCTTTTAGTGTAAAGTAATGGCATGTGCTAATGTGGCTTGAAATCTGTTTTTAGATGAAAAGAAAAAAATTCATGGCCTAAATTTTTGCAAGTACAACTTTCTGTAGAGGCAGCTTTCTTCATGCACTAGAGACCAAACAGGTGTTACGGCCCTCACACATATATACCTTGGGACTTCTGCCATTTGGTGCATAGAGGAAACAAAAATGACTGATAGGCCATGCTTGAATGTGTCTCCGTGGGGCCTCTTTGCTTTCATTTTGGTCAAAAATATGATAAATGCTTTCATTTCAGACTGCATTGCTTAGGTCTGTTTTTTAGAACTTAAGTTTCCTACAGTTTTATCTTTAAATAATACTCTGTTTGAACTGTGCTTTTCCCTCTCTCAAAAGTCGCTATAAATCTCACTTAGATTTCTCTTCTTTGCCTTCCATTTTTGTAATCACATCTTCATTGCTTTCCTCTCTCCATCATTTCCCATTGTATTTTAGGAGAACTTCTCATCTCTTTCTTTTCCATTATCACAGATTAAATTTTCTGCAGTGTTAATTCTACTCTTACTGCCTCCTGTATGGATTTTAGTACAGTTGACCTTTGAACAGTATGGGGGTTAGGGGCACTGACCCCCTGGGGAGTCAAAAATCGTGTATAACTTTTGACTCCACCCCACCCCAAAACTACTAATTGCCTGTGGGCTAGAAGCCTTTCCGATAATATAAATAGTTGATTAACACATATTTTGTATAAGTACATACTGTATTCTTAAAGTAAGTTAAAGAAACTGTTAAGAAAATCATAAAGAAGAGAAAATAAATTTACAGTATTTATTGAAAAAATAAAATCCACGTATAACTGGACCTGTGCCGCTCAAGCCATATTGTTCAAGGGTCAAGCGTCCTTCTATTCCCAGTTTACTTGCTATGCTTTCCTATCTCCCTATGCAGGGATCTTTAGACTTCCTACTGCTGCCCTAGATTGAAAACTGTCAGGAGGCTTAAATGATAAAGGTGCCTTCTTTTTATTGTGTGGTAAAAACACATTATTTGGTAATGGGAGAGCCCAGCAGGTTTGGGGTGAGATCCTGGTTACATCATTAACGAGCGGTGTGAAATCTAAAAAAAAGCAAAAAACAAAAACTAAGCCTGTCTGAGTGTCAGTTTCTTTATCTCTGAAACAGGAGCTACTAAAGTCATCCATTGGATTCTGAAGATTCTGAAGCTTAGAAAAGAAATATGTCAAGTGTCTGACATATATAAAGTTCCCCACAAATGGTAGTTACTCCTAGTGAATCGTGGGTCCAGCAAAGCTGGGATCTCACTTTCCACGCTCCCTCTTTATCAACTCGGTTTATGTAACCAATGACGTATGTAGCCTAATGGCCCGTTTGTTAAGAATTTTAAGGGGGAAACGGAAACTTTTAAAGAGTAAGGGATATAGTGATGAATCACACAACGTTGATTCAGCCGGTTGACCTGCAGAGAAATGGCTCGTTGAGTTTGGATTTGAAATGACATGGAGAGGACATTCTCTAATGTCTGATTTTGACAGCCCCCAAGTTAGCAGTGACCAGTCTTTACCCCAAATTGGCCATTGACAAACTGATTCAGTTGCTCTGGGATTCCTTATCTCAAAACCTAAGTATTTCCTTCCCTTTTTGACCAGAAGATTACAAACCCGGGTCTCCTTGGGTTTAACTGCCCTGTCTCCCCAATAGGTCATGCATTGCCAATGCTAAGCCAGATTGCCAGGGAGGGGGCAAGCCCACGTCAGTCTAAATCAACTTTTACTTTTCTTCAGCTGAAAGTATGCTCCTTCATGAAGTCTTCCCACCAACTGAGTCAAGGTCACGGTAGCCCTAGATGCACTGTCCTCAACAACCAAACAACGTGGCCAGCACCATATCTCTGGGGGCGCTCTCAGCGGTGTGCAGGAACTATTGGAAAAGGCTTCCAACCAAGCCATTCCCTACCATTCCTGACAGCCCCACACACCAGGGGTGTGGCTTCTTTCATGGCTGTTTGAGGCTAATAATTAGAAGAAGACGTATGTTTTCTTCCTTTAGCCTTTCTTTGAATTTGAGGCTTTTACTACTTGTTTTCAATTTTTACTTATTTATTTTTAAGCTTTTATTTTTCTTAACCTTTTCAAATGGGGTTTAATATCCGAGCAGGCCAGGCGATGTGTATTGTTGGCATTCCTGAAACACTGGAGGCAAGGGGTGGTCTGGTAGTGGACTGGTAGCGGGAGGGGTTGGAAATGAGGGATTAATGGCTGAGGCAGAGGGAGGTGCTGGCGGTACTACACTCCCCTCATTTCAAGCTAAGGTGTCTGACTCTCAGGTGGATGAAGAGTCAGTCCAGATCACCAAGCATCCCACCTGGGGACTGCCTGTAGCCGGCAAGCCAGGTGCACAGCTAGCCGCCAGGCCGAAGGACACCTGGTGAGTCCTGGACAGAGGCTGCTGAAGGCGGCCTGGCTCTCCTTGAACCTCTGGGTGACTGGGCAGAGACAGCTCTGAGTCAGCACAGTGTCCACTTCTTGCCATTGGCAGCCACCTGTGCCCTCTCCCTGAGAACAGCAGACAAGGCAGACATAGCCCAGGGCACTGGGGTTGACTGCTCCAGAGGGCGTGTGCGAAAGATCAGTAAAGCAGAGACATTTTGAAAGGCACCTCTGCTGACTGAGAACATTTTCTGTGTTGAAAAAACCACCACCCAAACCCCCCAACCAACTGGCACAGTCCCCATAGGTTTTGGCAGCAATAACAAAGCACTGAGTCCTGCCAGGAGAAACAGCTTTGAATTCAAATGTAAAGCTAATCAGAATATGGATCACACAAAGCTGCCAGTTATTTGATGGGTGTTGGGAGTAAAACACACCCACCCATCTAAGGGACCCCCCCCAAGGGCATTATCAAGTCCCAGAAACAATGTCAAATCTTTTTCAAACAGCAAATATTCCCACCTGTCTCCCTCCTACACAAGGCAGAGTGTACGTCTAATTCCTTGGAGTCCTGCTCGACAGCCAGCTTCCAAGACTTCAGCGCCCTCACCCGCTGGCAGTTGCACAGCCGCTGGAGGCCGGCGGTGGCCAACTTGCGTCCGTGTTCCTGGATCACCGTGTTAGCAAGTTTTCAGTCATTGTCAGGGGATTCCCGTGGTGGGGCTGGAGAGCAGAGAAACAGTGGGAAACAGGCTCAAGAGGTCAGGCTCTGGACTCACCCCAGGCCAAAACTCC